TCCGGCCCTGGTGGATCTGTCCCTTGGGGTAGTTCGTCCTCGAGATGGTCGATGCCCTTGGCGGACAACATCACTTCGAGCACTGTTTCGAGAAGATCTTGGTGTACTTTGGGTGGACATTCTGCGTCTGTTTGATGTAACTTGCCATCCGGACTGTGTAGTTCGGGTAGAGCGTATCCCACCACTGTCTGCTGTGTCGCCAAGGGAAGATTGAGTGACCTCCTCGACCGGCATAGCAGCGTTCTCGTTGAAGGTAAACTGCGTGTTGCGCGAGTCCCCGCTGCCGCCCTGCATCTTTGCGATGATGAGCTGATTGGTCCTTTGCGTCCACAATCTTAAGCTCTGACGGCCCGGCTACCAGCACGCAGGTACTCCTCTTCCGACGGAAGAAGTGAGTCCTTACGGCTGATAACCTGTGAACAATTTTAATCCTTGTTCCCGGATATCTGGTTGTAGTTGTTGGAATCCCTAACGTCCTAGTAGCCGGAGTCCAGGCAGCATTGCTGAGCGGCGCAAACACCGTTTTCCCTTGCGACTTGAGCCAAATATTTGGCGTCATGTCAGGCCTACTCCACATGCTTATACATGTGTGCAGTACCGTTTAGTTCCCTTTAGCATAATATATATATATACATATAATCCCCAACACCACAAGGGCATACAGTATGCACCACCAACAGCGACTTTCACCATGGTTGCCTGAAGTGGAGTAACCAAGAAAAGGTCGTATTTGCTGCCGGCGCTTTGGGGGATCGATCATTCTGAGTCAAGATGATCTTCTCAGGGAAGCTGCAGACTTGATTCTTCACTAGTCATGGCTGATGATCATCATATATGGTTGTTGTTTGGGAAATGCCTGGAATCACCAACCAATCGGTATACTCCACAATAGCAATGCTGCTCTGGATAATGATGACTAACCTATGGAGTTAGGGGTGCCCTATCTTCAGACAACCCCATTCTGAATATTGCGGTCCCCTTCAGCTTCATGCAAGAATGCCCTCCAGTGAAACGAAGGCTTCAAAAAAGCCTTGGTCGTGCATGGCACGAGACTCATTTTGGAGCCTCTCTGCCTTTCTCTCTGTTGGACAATTTTATGCTATTGGGTCTTCTGCCTACGTCCTTTCTCCACAGTTTACATGGTATGTGCCAGCCACCAGGGAGTCCACCAGCGTTTGAGCAGGCATGCCACTGTGTCAACATCTTGCTGCCTGGCATCCTTTCTGTTTAGGGTTGGTTTAAGGTTTTTTTCAGGTGTTATTTAGGGATACTTGCTGTTGGTTAAGGCTGATTAGTGTTTATTTACGTCTGGTTTAAAGTTTAATTGAGGGTGGTTTAGGGTTGGTTTAGGGGTTCTTCAAGAGTTGTTTAGGGATACAGTAGTTGGGGTTGGTTTAAGGCTGATTAATGTTTATTTACGTGGGCCACGGTCAATATTTGTTATATAGCTCCAAGTCATCAATTTTTGAAGAGTGTGTTATCGGTTTTCTGGTTTTGGTATATAAGCAAATGTTATCGTTTCATGAAGGGTGTATCATCGTTTTCCAAGCCCCAGCTCAATTTCCAAAAAATAAAGTTGTCTCGAATTCTCCACTAACCTAAATTTTGCCTATAGGTTGGTTTAGGGTTTGTTTAGGGTTGGTTTAGGGTTTCTTCCGGTGTTGTTTAGGGATACTTGAGGTTGGTTTAAGGCTGATTAGGGTGTATTTACTTCTGGTTTGAAGTATATTTGGGGTTGGTTTAGGGTTCTTCAGGTGTTGTTTAGGGATGTTTGGGGTTGGCTTAAGGCAAAGTAGGGTTTATTTACGTATGGTTCAAAGTTTATTTGGGGTTTGCTTAAAGTATATTTCGGGTTGGTTTAGGGTTTCTTCGGGTGTTGTTTAGGCATACTTGGGGTTGGCTTAAGGCTGACTGGGGTTTATTTACGCATGGTTTAAAGTTTATTTGGGGTTGGTTTAGGGTATGTTTAGGGTTGGTTTCGGGGTTCTTCAGGCGTTGTTTAGGGATACGGTACTTGGGGTTGGTTTAAGGCTGATTATATAGGGTTTATTTACGTCTGGATTAAAGTATATTTGGGGTTCGTTAAGGGTTTTTAATGGGTTGGTTTAGGGTTTATTGGCGGTCGGTTTAGGGTTTATTCAGGGATTGTTTACTGTCAGTGCCAGAATTATAGAACGGAAGTTGAGGAGTACGAAGGTACGGTTATTTACCGTACCCTGTTGTTCTATAATTCTGTTTTCCTCGGAAGGTATGAAAAAAAAAACATATCTGAATTTACTCCTAACTTTTTTCGTCGTTCTATAATTCTTGTCGGAGCGCTGTTGTTCTATAATTCTGTTTTCCCCCATTTTTCTCACATTTCCCATTTTCGTTCTATAATTAATTTTCTCCGTTCTATAATTCATCAAATCCTCATTTTATCTTTATTTTATCTTCATGTTATCCTCATTTTCTCATCAAATCCTCATAAATTAAATCCTGGTTAAATCCTCATTTTATTTTCATGTTATCCTTATTTAATCCTCATTTCCTCATCAAATCCTCATTTTATCTCATGTTATCCTCATGTTATCCTCATTGTCTCCTCGTTTCCTCATCAAATCTTCATTTTATTCTCATTTTATCTTCATTTTATCTTCATTTCCTCATCAAATCCTCATTAAATCCTCATTAAATCTTCATTTTATAGATTGTATATGTACAAATATGCAGTAAATATCATGGAGGTGCCAGAAATTATAGAACGGGGAAATTTAATTATAGAACGGAGAAATTTAATTATAGAACGGGGAAATTTAATTATAGAACGGATCCGAATCCGCGCGGAATCGGGATCCGGAGGAGTACGAAGGTACGGTATTTTACCGTACTTTTGTACTCCTGGCTCCGTTCTATAATTCTGGCACTGACTGTAGACTTTATTTAGGGCCCTTTTTAGGGTTCTTAGGCTTTGTTTAGGATGTATTTAGGGTTGGTTATGGTTTATCCAAAGTTGGTTCAAGGTTTATCGAGGGTTGGTTCAACATCGATTTAGGGTTGGTTTAAAGTTTATTTGGGGTTGGCTCTGGGTTTATTTGGGCTTGGTTTAGTGTTTTTTTAAGGTGTGTTTCAGGTTTGTTTACGGTTTGTTTGGGGTTGGTTGAGGGTCGAGTTAGGCTTTACAAAAGTTGGTTTAGGGTCTATTTAAGGGCGGCTAAGGTTGATTTACGCTTGGTTTAAGGTGTATTTGTCGTTGGTTTATGGTTTACGAGGTTGCTGTAGGATTTGTTTAGGGTTGGTTTAAAGTTTATTTGGTGTTGTTTTAAGGCTGCCAGCATGAACTGCTGCAACCACAATCGCAACACACCTACAGAACCCCCAAGCAAACTGAAAACCAACCGGAAAAAAAAAATAGCAACAAACCAGCCCTAAACCAACTGTAAATAAATACGGCAGACCAACTTTAAATAAACCGTACACCAACCCTAAACAAGCCATGAAACAAATCAACCACCCTAAACCAATTGTGGATTAACCCTAAACCAACCGTCATAAGCCCTAAACCAACCCCAAATAACCCTTGAAGCGGATGTAAATAAACGCGAATTCCAACCTATACCCCAATCCAAGCCTACATAAACCCCAAACCATAGAGAACCTTAGAAACCATGGGAATTGTGAAAACCTTGGAGACCTTAGATACCATAGAATAGAAATGGTGGAAACGATAGAAACCTTGGATCTTGAAGCGCGTTCCACAACGAGTACTGTAATATCCGCGGGTTCCAAATTGAGTAATATCCACGCGTTCCAAACCGATGCCCTTCCCGATGCCCAGAGACATGAGTTTCATCCAGCGACTGGTGCTCCAGTCATGACTTAAGAAGGAATGGAAGCGCTTCATCTGTCGGCTGAGTTCATAGAGCCGGTGATCCACCTTGAACATTCCAGGATCTGGTCTTGCAAAGTGTTGGCCGCATCCGCTCAAACACACATCCTCTGTGTTCATGGTGACTTGGTGAGTTGGCGAAAAAAGAAGTGGGTACCAATGAAAAAAAATAAAACTGTTCATGTTCTTGCTGTTTTTTTTCCAGCCCTTGGCATTTTTTTTCTAGCCCAAACTCCAGCAGACTCTAACAGGTTGGCTACAACGGTTTTGATGTGGATTTGGGGCCTCAAGTTGAACTTCAAGTTCGGAAAAAGCTCCCCGAGCTAAGCTACATCCTGGGTAACTGTTCTTTGGGTTTGTCTGAAAATTGTGTATCCCAATTCCAATGGAATAAAACCTTCATTTTCCCCATGAAAATTGTGATTTCTGGCTATCCCCTATTGACACCCATCGTCCGTGAAGCATCTAGAGGTACACCCCGCAACAGTTCGGGACGAATCGTGGTGTGTAGCTCTTCCAGTGAGGAGGTGATGCGAACCACCGAGGGGTCCATCACGGCTCTTGCTCTGTATACCAGGATATGTCCATGTCATGCATATATATATATACATTCATACATTCACTATATATATATACACTGTGTATGAGAGCATATCAGACCTGTATTATACAAAAGTACATGTATAACTATAATATTATATATATATTATATATATTATATATATATACAAGTTATAGAAGCATCATTACCAAGCCCCCAAAGCCAACGTCTTCGCTGGAATACTATACAACTTGAGCCATATTCCGGGTGAGCATCGCTTCCAACTTTGCACAACACAGGCAGCTTTCACAGGGCCGACCCACTGCATGCTCCACTTCTTTTATCCTGGATAAGTCTGCAATCAAAAGTTGAAGACGCTAATGCATTTCAAGCCGCTGGCTCAAATGTGAAAAAAATGCAAAATAAAGGTGCAAAGGCATACGGCTTCGCACCACAGCTCAAGAGCGTGGGATCATCACAAGGCGTCAGTCCGGCGGAAATTATGGCAGGTGATGAGAGTACAACATGATATTAACCCACGACTAAATCAGCATAGGGAATGACAGCATCTCAAAGACTGATCATGATCTTGCCATGTCAACAGCAGTTTCTGTAGCTTTTGCGATGCCTCGGTTGGCCCCGGGACAGCCAAAGCTATAGCCTAGTCATTTCTCGCAGAACTCTGCCAAGTCATTTCCGGTCATCTTCTCAGCTCAGTGTCAAAGAAACCTGCTTGGTTTAACACAGCATTACCAGTTTATGCATGTTTATGGATGATGAACAAAAAAAAAGGAGAGTATAATCAGTATCATCCCCTATAAACTTGAAGCCAAGTTGGGTTTTTTCAACACTGCGCAGGTTTGCAAAAATCGACAGAGTGTGACTCTGTCGCAGTATTTACATTTACTTGCCAAGACTAGGTAAGGCAAACCACCAGCGAAAGGTGCAGTTGAGTCTTGAGCCGGACGCGAAAATTCCGCGTCTGATGGGTTTGGCATTTTCTGGGTGCATTGAAGGAACCTTCAAATCTTTTAGTTAAATGCCTTGACTCTACTGGTTGAGTCTTAAGGGACAAGGTCGCTGAGGCCTGTGGATGAGAAACATTGCATTGATGTATATAAATCAATGCTTGTGCACTCCTGAGGGTCATTCTGCAACAAAAAGACGGATAAAGTTACTTCAAATTCACTGCCATGCCATCGCCAGAAATGCGTTACAAACCCCAAAAAAATACAAAGAGATGCAGGATGCAACTGTCTTCACAGTATAAGCCGCCTGTGCAGCATTGTTCTCACCTGCTTGTAGAGCTTCTTGGGTGGGTTTTCGCAGCAACTTTGTTGAGCGATCCGCCAAACTATCTATGGATGTGGGTTCAAGCAAGGCTATAAGTTATATAATGTATTATAATGTTATATATAACTTTTCCAGGGTCCCAGCCTGGTTTCCTCCATCAATGTCACCTCTTGTTGGAGCAAAACACTCTTCAACCACTATTTTGGATGTGATGTTTCACCCCAAATTGTGGAAATCTCTTGGGACCCCCAAAAAAACATGTCTAAACAGACCATCTTGAATCGCTGTCATCGTCCTTCGCAGCGTCCTCCACTTGCTCCGGTTCCTGCGGCGCTTCGATGCAGTGGCTCCGTAGCCCCTGGGAGGCTGTAAGGATGGCCTCGGTGAGCACATGCGAGCTCTGAGACCAAAAGCCGCAAAGGAGGAGAAGCCAAAATGCAACCGGGATCAACGGGAGGATGCTGTCCTGACAGGTGCATTTCGACAAAGCAACTTCAGAATGCTCCATTTCCAAAGCAAAAAAAAACAGATCAGTCAGGAACAGCAAGATTTGAAGTAGTAAATATACTGTAAAATACGAGTATAAAAATGAAAATGTTCGAGCAAGCCTTTTCAAGCAAGGTTCGTCTGGTGAAATGACCATGAGAATGTCATGTGAGAACAGTACCAGCGTCAACCCGAAACCAGCTGGCATCGTAAGGAGAAACGCCGTACGGACCCTGTAGTTGCTACACCAATGTGGCATGTAGCGCACAGCCAGCAACCAGATCCGCATGGAGGTGCGAATCCAGATGAGACAAAGAATGCCATGCATGCTCCATTTTATCAGCAGCCTCAAGGCCCAAATGACCTGACAGCATCGAAATGTAATGAAATGTATACCCTTCAGAAATCAAACATAGAATCAGAAATGGCAAATTCCGCATTTAGTTTCATGATTTTACCAGCGAACTAAACCCTCCATGGCTACACCATGAAAAAAATCGGCACCTGCTGAGAGGTGCTGCTCAGCTCCGGGTTGCCAGCCACGATTTCAGGAATCAAAGCTGAAATGTCCGGCAACACTCCTGGAATGAGCATATAGAAGCCTTGGTGGCCAGCGGAGGGTCTGAGAGGCAAAACGTGTCCAAAAAAAATGTGACGCTGAAGCCGTCCATGAATGGAAGTGTTGCGTTTGAAATCAGAAATGAAATCGAACTGCAGACCTCGTGAGCCGCCAAGCCGCTGTAATTCCACGGCAGCATATCGCTTCCCATCTTCCGCAAAACTTTGGAAGCAAGTTCCTCCTCGTTGCAAGCCGACGTTTCAAGCGGTGATCAAACTTGTAGTCCAAAAAGATAAATTGTTTGGCCTTGTGTTTTTCTATGATCGTTATCTGTGATTGTTGATTGTTATTAACCATGTTTGTTAATTACTATTGTTAACTATTATTATCAACTATTATTATCAACTATTATTATCAACTATTATTATCAACTATTGTCATGAACTATTATATTTAACCATTGTAGTCCAGTGTTATTATCAACTATTATTAGTTATTATTATTGTGAATTATTAGCAATTATTATTGTGAACGATCATTGTTAACCATTGTTATTAACTATTATTATTAAATATTAAAATCAATTATTATTATTAACTAGTATATATACTAACTATCATTGTTAACTATTATTATTAACTAGTATTATTAAATATCATTATCAATTATCATTATGAACTATCATTAGCTAGTAGTGTTAACTAGTATTATTAACTATTATCATTAATTAATTACTAGCTAATGATCAACTCATTGTTATCTATCATTGTACACTATTATGAACATTGGCTATCATTAACTATCATAATTGACCATTGTTAACTAGCATTATCAACTATTACTAACTATTATCAACTACGATTAACGAACATTTTCAATTACCATTATTAACTATGATTATTCACTATTATTAACTATCATTATTAAGTATCATATATCTTTTTAACTATCATTCTCAACTATGATTAACTGATTAACTACTACTGACTATTATTAACTATAATTATTAACTATTCTTTCCTATCATTATTAACTATTATGAACTATCATTAACTATTATTAAGTAGTACTAATCATTATTACTAACTAGCATTACTTCTTATTATTAACTGTTATTATTCTATTGTTATCAAAGGAAGTTTAGGGGGAGAAACTTCCGTGTTACGGACTTTTAGAATGTCAGAGAAAGAGTTAGTCAAAGAAAGAGTTAGCAAAGAAAGAGTTCGTCAGGGAAAGAGTTAGTCAAAGAAAGAGTTAGTGAGGGAAAGAGTTAGTCAAAGAAAGAGTTAGTGAGGGAAAGAGTTAGTCAAAGAAAGAGTTAGTCAAGGAAAGAGTTAGTCAAAGAAAGAGTTAGTGAGGGAAAGAGTTAGTCAAAGAAAGAGTTAGTGAGGGAAAGAGTTAGTCAAAGAAAGAGATAGTGAGGGAAAGAGTTAGTCAAAGAAAGAGTTAGTCAAAGAAACAGTTAGTGAGGGAAAGAGTTAGTCAAAGAAAGAGTTAGTCAAAGAAAGAGTTAGTCAGGGAAAGAGTTAGTCAAAGAAAGAGTTAGTGAGGGAAAGAGTTAGTCAAAGAAAGAGTTAGTCAAAGAAACAGTTAGTCAGGGAAAGAGTTGGTCAAAGAAAGAGTTAGTGAGGGAAAGAGTTAGTCAAAGAAAGAGTTAGTGAGGGAAAGAGTTAGTCAGGGAAAGAGTTAGTCAAAGAAAGAGTTAGTGAGGGAAAGAGTTAGTGAGGGAAAGAGTTAGCAAAGAAACAGTTAGTCAGGGAAAGAGTTAGTCAAAGAAAGAGTTAGTGAGGGAAAGAGTTAGTCACAGAAAGAGTTTGCAAAGAAAGAGTTCGTCAGGGAAAGAGTTAGTCAAAGAAAGAGTTAGTCAAAGAAACAGTTAGTCAGGGAAAGAGTTAGTCAAAGAAAGAGTTAGTGAGGGAAAGAGTTAGTCAAAGAAAGAGTTAGTGAGGGAAAGAGTCAGTCAAAGAAAGAGTTAGTGAGGGAAAGAGTTAGTCAAAGAAAGAGTTAGTCAGGATATATGAGGTAGTCAAAGAAAGAGTTAGCAAAGAAACAAGTTAAAGAAAGAGTTAGTGAGGAAAAGAGTTAGTCACAGAAGAGTTAGCAAAGAAATTGTTCCCTCACTGTAAATGGGATTGCAAGTGGTGCTGGTGGAGGAGTTGCCGATGGAGTTTTGGAGGAAGTCTCACACGAAATGCGTTTTTGAGAGATAGCAGATGCACGAAACCCTATGTTTTTCCATACAAAGTCCGTCCCCGAACGTCGATGATCTACCTCTGCGGTGCGACGGGTGCGAGACGGTCTTGTGTGTGGTCGGAACGGTCTCGGATCATGTTCGGATCGGTTCCGCATTGTAAATGGGGTTTCAGCTGTGTTTCGTGCATTTGCGGTCGACAGAATTCCATTGTGATTTGCAACTGTAGGATCGTTCCCGCAATGTAAATGGGATTGCAAGTGGTGCTGGTGGATGAGTTGCCGATGGAATTCCATTGTGATTTGCAACTCTAGGATCGTTCCCTCACTGTAAATGGGATTGCAAGTGGTGCTGGTGGAGGAGTTGCCGATTGGAGGAAGTCTCGCACGAAATGCGTTTTTGAGAGATAGCAGATGCACGAAACCCTATGTTTTTCCATACAAAGTCCGTCCCCGAACGTCGATGATCTACCTCTGCGGTGCGACGGGTGCGAGACGGTCTCGTGTGTGGTCGGATCATGGTCGGATCGGTCTCGGATCATGGTCGGATCGGGATCGGTTCCGCATTGTAAATGGGGTTTCAAGTGTTTTTCGTGCATGTGCGGTCGACAGAATTCCATTGTGATTTGCAACTGTAGGATCGTTCCCGCAATGTAGATGGAATTGCAAGTGGTGCTGGTGGATGAGTTGCAGATGGAATTCCATTGTGATTTGCAACTGTAGGATCGTTCCCTCAATGTAAATGGGATTGCAAGTGTTGCTGGTGGATGAGTTGCCAATGGAATTCCATTGTGCTTTGCAACTGTAGGATCGTTCCCGCAATGTAAATGGCTGCGTCAAGGTTGCTTCGTGCTGTGGCTGCATTGGTAATACTATTGTCTTTTGCAGCTGGATCTCGTAAATCGTACTGGAGTGGCTGCATGAAGGCTGCCACAGTGATTTGTCAGCAGATTTTCTCCATTTTGGCGCTAATGATTTTCCTTCTAAAAATCCTTTTAAAAAGTGCTTCAAAATCGTCTTTTTTTCGCTCTGGCGTCGAGATCCCCGGTTTTGGAGCTACAATTTCCGACGCCGTTGCGCGTAGTTCTATTGTGTTTTGCAACTCAGTCTCTGCAGATCGCATTGTAATGGCTGCGTCGAGGTTGCTTCGTGCTGTGGCTGCATTCGTAAGACTATTGTCTTTTGCAGCTGGATCTCGTAAATCGTATTGGAGTGGCTGCATGAAGGCTGCGACAGTGATTTGTCAGCAGATTTTCTCCATTTTGGCGCTAGTGATTTTCCTTCTAAAAATCCTTTTAAAAAGTGCTTCAAAATCGTCTTTTTTTAGCTCTGGCGTCGAGATCCGGTTTTGGAGCTACAATTTCCGACGCCGTTGCGCGTAGTTCTATTGTGTTTTGCAACTCAGTCTCTGCAGATCGCATTGTAATGGCTGCGTCAAGGTTGCTTCGTGCTGTGGCTGCATTCGTAATACTATTGTCTTTTGCAGCTGGATCTCGGAAATCGTCTTGGAGTGGCTGCATGAAGGCTGCGAAATGGGTTTGTTAGCAGATTTTCTCCATTTTGGCACTAGTGTTTTTTTGTTGGACGTACGTTTAGAGCAGTGTGAAGTGTGGGGCGGGAAGAGTGCAGTGTGAAGTGTGAAGTGTGAAGGAAGCAGTGGGAAATGAGAAGTGTGAAGTGTGGAGTGTGAAGTTTCAGTTTGGAGTGCGAAGAGCGCAGTGTGAAGTGTGAAGTGTGAGGTTTGGAGTGTGAAGGAAGCAGTGAGAAGTGAGAAGTGAGAAGTGTGGACTGTGAAGTGTGAAGTGTGAAGTGTGGAGTGTGGAGTGGGAAGGAAGCAGTGAGAAGTGAGAAGTGTGAAGTGTGGACTGTGAAGTGTGGAGTGTGAAGTGCGAAGTGAGAAGTGTGAAGTTTGGAGTGTGAAGGAAGCAGTGAGAAGTGAGAAGTGTGAAGTGAGAAGTGTGAAGGGTGGACTGTGAAGTGTGGAGTGCGAAGAGCGCAGTGTGAAGTGTGAAGTGTGAGGTTTGGAGTGTGAAGGAAGCAGTGAGAAGTGTGAAGTGTGGACTGTGAAGTGTGAAGTGTGAGTGAAGTGTGGAGTGTGAAGTGCGAAGTGAGAAGTGTGAAGTTTGGAGTGTGAAGTTTGGAGTGGGAAGGACGCAGTGAGAAGTGAGAAGTGTGAAGTGTGGACTGTGAAGTGTGGAGTGTGAAGTGCGAAGTGACAAGTGTGAAGTTTGGAGTGTGAAGGACGCAGTGAGAAGTGAGAAGTGAGCAGTGAGAAGTGTGAAGTGTGGACTGTGCAGTGTGGAGTGCGAAGAGCGCAGTGTGAAGTGTGAAGTGTGAGGTTTGGAGTGTGAAGGAAGCAGTGAGAAGTGTGAAGTGTGGACTGTGAAGTGTGAAGTGTGAGGGAAGTGGGGAGTGTGAAGTGCGAAGTGAGAAGTGTGAAGTTTGGAGTGTGAAGGAAGCAGTGAGAAGTGAGAAGTGTGAAGTGAGAAGTGTGAAGTGTGGACTGTGAAGCGTGGAGTGTGAAGTGCGAAGTGCGAAGTGAGAAGTGTGAAGTGTGAAGTGTGAAGTTTGGAGTGTGAAGGAAGCAGTGAGAAGTGAGAAGTGTGGAGTGTGAAGTGTGGAGTGTGAAGTTTGAAGTTTGGAGTGCGAAGAGCGCAGTGTGCAGTGTGAGGTGTGGAGTGTCGAGGGAAGGACACGGTCGGGACAGGTTGTCTTTGAACTATAGGTCATTTATGTTTGGGAAACTTCCGCCGCCGGCTTGCCCGGGTCTATGTAGAACATGTTTCTTACGTCTTGTTTTCCAATGAATCTGGGTGTAACCAGCCTGAAACCACAACAGGCGTCAACATGTGGCCCTGGCCTTTGACCTTGGCTTCCCATTCTTTTCCTCTAAAGCATCACCAAATTCAATGAAGACCGCTATAGAAGCATTTCAAACAATGTGTCACCCTGCCAAGACCATCTGGACATCAATCCCTTCCACAAACTGCGGCGCAAGTGCCTGCACTAGCTGATTGAAGCGCTCCAAATGCTGCCACTGCTCTTTGCGGTCCCCAACTTTGCCATACCACCGTTTCAACATCTTGAAAATGAGCAGCCGATCGCAGGGAAGCTCCTGGAAACGGAAATGGAAAAGCGGCTTGGCCATTCAATGCCAATGAGTGGAAAATACTTCTGAAAAACCAAGCAGTGTATTACATTGGTCCCTAGAGATACATGGCTTTGTGCCATTTACCATACTATTCTCCTTTTGCTTCTGTTGCTTCCTGGAACTATTCCCATCACAACAGATTCCCTGCGTCCGACTTCGTCCTTGCCGGTGTCAGGATGGCGATGGCCATTGGCACAGCAGAAACATCCTGCATCCTGCACCCGGAATTTGCTGAGCCTGAGATAACAAAAGGCAGGGCCCAAAACAGTTCTACCTATCCAAACTTCTGAATGCAACCGGCTTCACCACTACCGGTCAGGAAGTTTTTTTGGTCAAGTTGCTGGTCAGGAAGGGCCGCCAAATCTTCCATCATCCCAATCCCAATGTAGTACAGCAGCGGCATGACAGGTCCCAAGAATGGAAGGTACAAGGCGTTCTTGTTGAACATGTCCCGCATTCTACCTTCAGGAAGTGCAGAAACGGAGTTTAATTCCCATCCATAGGAGTTGCGGAGCTCTTCCAGAATGCTGAATCCTGCAGCTGAGGCAAACCCAATCAATCTCAGTATTCCAAACATTTTCCCCCAAAGCGGTTAGCCAAAAACTCGCCATTTGTGACAAAGCTGAAAGCCTGTTGGATGCATGATTTCCTTCCAAATGGCAGGGAAATCCAAGAGACTATGTCATGCAGCTCGAAGACACATGGGTTTGTCTGAAAATTTGGTGCCCAAAAATTTGACGGTTCATTGTACAGATTATATATATATATATATCATATTATGATATATATATATATGCATTGATATATATAATTATATACATAATTATATATATATATAATTATATACAATTATATATATATATGATATAATTATATATATAATTATACATATATATATATACATATCATGTTTCTCATCAGAAGGGTACGTCCCGCATTTTCAGACAAATTAAAATATCATATTAATATTTTTGGTCGTAAGTAGCTCATTCTACCTCCATTACATCACTAAAGCGTGACAGCGGCCCCTTTTGAAATACCTTTCAAGTTTCAACCGTGCCGCCTTGCCCAAACGCAATGCCATTCGCCCAAACTCATTACACTCGCTGAAGATCTTCAATAAGGGATCAAATCCCCCATCCCCGTTAAACCATTACACTCGCTGAAGATCTTCAACAAGGGATCAAATCCCCCATCCCCGTTAAACCATTACACTCGCTGAAGATCTTCAACAAGGGATCAAATCCCCCATCCCCGTTAAACCATTACACTCGCTGAAGATCTTCAATAAGGGATCAAATCCCCCACCCCCGTTAAACCATTACACTCGCTGAAGATCTTCAACAAGGGATCAAATCCCCCATCCCCGTTAAACCATTACACTCGCTGAAGATCTTCAATAAGGGATCAAATCCCCCACCCCCGTTAAACCATTACACTCGCTCAAGATCTTCAATAAGGGATCAAATCCCCCACCCCCGTTAAACCATTACACTCGCTGAAGATCTTCAACAAGGGATCAAATCCTCCACCCCCGTTAAACCATTGCACTCGCTGAAGATCTTCAACAAGGGATCAAATCCCCCATCCCCGTCAAACCATTACACTCGCTGAAGATCTTCAACAAGGGATCAAATCCCCCATCCCCGTTAAACCATTACACTCGCTGAAGATCTTCAATAAGGGATCAAATCCCCCACCCCCGTTAAACCATTACACTCGCTGAAGATCTTCAACAAGGGATCAAATCCCCCATCCCCGTTAAACCATTACACTCGCTGAAGATCTTCAATAAGGGATCAAATCCCCCATCCCCGTTAAACCATTACACTCGCTGAAGATCTTCAATAAGGGATCAAATCCCCCACCCCCGTTAAACCATTACACTCGCTGAAGATCTTCAACAAGGGATCAAATCCCCCATCCCCGTTAAACCATTACACTCGCTGAAGATCTTCAATAAGGGATCAAATCCCCCATCCCCGTTAAACCATTACACTCGCTGAAGATCTTCAATAAGGGATCAAATCCCCCATCCCCGTTAAACCATTACACTCGCTGAAGATCTTCAATAAGGGATCAAATCCCCACCCCCGTTAAACCATTACACTCGCTGAAGATCTTCAATAAGGGATCAAATCCCCCACCCCCGTTAAACCATTACACTCGCTGAAGATCTTCAACAAGGGATCAAATCCCCCATCCCCGTTAAACCATTACACTCGCTGAAGATCTTCAATAAGGGATCAAATCCTCCATCCCCGTTCAACCATTACACTCGCTGAAGATCTTCAATAAGGGATCAAATCCCCCATCCCCGTTAAACCATTACACTCGCTCAAGATCTTCAACAAGGGATCAAATCCCCCATCCCCGTTAAACCATTACACTCGCTGAAGATCTTCAACAAGGGATCAAATCCCCCATCCCCGTTAAACCATTACACTCGCTGAAGATCTTCAATAAGGGATCAAATCCCCCACCCCCGTTAAACCATTACACTCGCTGAAGATCTTCAATAAGGGATCAAATCCCCCACCCCCGTTAAACCATTACACTCGCTGAAGATCTTCAACAAGGGATCAAATCCCCCATCCCCGTTAAACCATTACACTCGCTGAAGATCTTCAATAAGGGATCAAATCCTCCACCCCCGTTAAACCATACACTCGCTGAAGATCTTCAACACGGATCAATCCCCATCCCGTCAAACCATTACACTCGCTGAAGATCTTCAATAAGGGATCCAATCCCCCACCCCCGTTAATCTTCAACCAAATTACACTCGCTGAAGATCTTCAACAAGGCTGAAGATCTTCAAATCAAATCCCCATCCATTACACTCGCTGAAGATCTTCAACAAGGGATCAAATCCCCCATCCCCGTTAAACCATTACACTCGCTGAAGATCTTCAATAAGGGATCAAATCCCCATCCCCGTTCAACCATTACACTCGCTGAAGATCATAAGGGATCAAATCCCCCATCCCCGTTAAACCATTACACTCGCTGAAGATCTTCAACAAGGGATCAAATCCCCCATCCCCGTTAAACCATTACACTCGCTGAAGATCTTCAACAACCCGGGATCTTCAAATCAATCCCCATCCCCGTTAAACCATTACACTCGCTGAAGATCTTCAATAAGGGATCAAATCCCCCATCCCCGTTAAACCATTACACTCGCTGAAGATCTTCAATAAGGGATCAAATCTCCCACCCCCATTAAACCATTACACTCGCTGAAGATCTTCAACAAGGGATCAAATCCCCTATCCCCGTTAAACCATTACACTCGCTGAAGATCTTCAATAAGGGATCAAATCCCCCATCCCCGTTAAACCATTACACTCGCTGAAGATCTTCAACAAGGGATCAAATCCCCCATCCCCGTTAAACCATTACACTCGCTGAAGATCTTCAACAAGGGATCAAATCCCCCATCCCCGTTAAACCATTACACTCGCTGAAGATCTTCAATAAGGGATCAAATCCCCCATCCCCGTTAAACCATTACACTCGCTGAAGATCATAAGGGATCAAATCCCCCACCACCCGTGGAACTACTACACTCGTTGAATATCTTCAATAAGCGATCAAATCCCCCACCCCCGCGGAACTACTACACTCATTGAAGATCCCCGATGAGGGATCAAATGCCCCAGCCGTGGAACTATTACACTCATTAAATAGGGTGAAAAGGGGAATTTGGAAAACGAAACTTCGAAGACCCTTACAGCGCTCGCAAATCGCAAAGCCATTTTCGATCACAAACAAAACCATATCAATATATGTTGGTACAGTCATTTTGTACGGGAAGCACCACGGTGTTTTCTCTTCATCAAAACGAAAGGCCGTAAACATACCACTTTAAAAAAAAGATGACTTGAGGATGGTAAAGGTATACCCACATTGGGTATAACCAATATATCTATAGTAGTGCAAAATTGTGGTTAGATACTAATAGTACCTATAGATATATTGCTTTACTATTGGATTAACCACATCAAATCATGATCCCAGTGATCCCAGTGATCCCAGTGATCCCAGTGATCCCAGTGATCCCAGTGAACCCAGGCACCCAGCATCACCACATGCATTGCAGCTGAAAAGATCACCAGGACCACAGCCAGTTTCACCGGCATCACCTGGAGAGCTAACCGGGATGGGCTAAGACAGGACGGCCAGTACCAGGAAAACCTCCAAAATTAGGGGTTTTACATGGTTTTACCAGATAAGTGTTGAATCATCATTGACTGGAGATAGCCCCAATTCAATATCATATATATATATATGTAATATATATATATATGTAATATATATATATATATATCAAATACCCTTTCATGACTGGGCCCCCAAAAAAAAACATAGTTTCCACACTAAACCAGGGGTGCCGGGGTGCTGGGGTGGTATTTAGCGGGGTGGTTGGTACCCAGCATTTTTGTATCGGCATTCAAAAAAAATGTTGTTACCCATCAGTGTGTATCGGTATAAATGGGATCATACACATGATGTACATAAGTTATGGGATGGTCTTATCCATGGTTATATCCAAGGCCAAGAAAATGGTGGTTCCAGGGCCCTTAGTTATAGAACGTCATAGACACATGGGCATATGGGCATAGCATGGCTCAAGTCCGTGGGGTAGCCTGACCATCACCAAAGCCATAGATCCGGCCGTTGGGGCCATTGCTGCCATTGAAGGGGAAATCTGATGAACCTCTGAGATCGCCCAAGAAACTCGGACCAACCCATCCCATAAAGGAGTTCTGCCAAGTCACCAAGATAGGCTTTGGCTTCTCGCTGTCCCTGAGAAAGGTGCTGATCTCATATGTACACCTCACTTTCTTGGCCGGGCCTGGGATGCAATTCTCATTCTCAGTCTTGATAGCCCGCAATAAGATATGGTTTTATATGGTTTTAGCAGATTTTAGCGGGTTAGTCAGTCAATATGCCCCTTCGTAGCAATACCGTTGGCAATACCAAGGTCTCCATCTAAGGTTGATCCAGTTCTACTCTACTAAGAAGCGAATGTGTTGTGTGGCTATGGCAAGCTGCAGCCATGGTTACAAAGGTTCCCAACTCTACCACATGGTGTATGGCCCATGCCGACCCTTATGGTACATGGTCTCTGGCTTTGTCTGAGAATGTAGATACTACAGATCCCCCACGTGGTCACCAGCTGCAATGGCTGCAGTCAGGAGGCCAAAGACGACTGAAGTAGCGGTGAGACCACAAGATGGTGAGCTCATCTGCATGGTCCAGGAAACCCGCCAATCCAAAGATGCCATTGCGTTTCCTCAGCCCGCAGAACGAATTTCCATTCGGGATGATGCAAAATTGGAATCTGGGGAATTGCAAATTGGAAAAGATCCACATAGTTACATAGTCACATAGTCCAGCTCGCCCCCATTTGCCAGGTCCGAGTCACAGTTCCTCATCATGTTGTGGAATGCAAAGTTTGTCGAAGAACACTACCACAGGAATCCGCAGGAATGAACGAATCCGCTGCCAGAAGCAGAACATGAAGGGAAACACAGCAAAGACCTCATTGCCGGGTTGGCTTCTGCTTTTCCCAGAGAAAAGGAGATGGAATTCCGTGGTAAACCCAATGCCATAAACCGTCGTATCAGGCCTTCAAAATTGGAGGTTTATGGCATTGGAGACTGTTGCCAGTTGATCCTTTGCCCCAAGCGGTGGTATCCATTAAATCACTAGTGTTTCCTCAATGGACATTGCCAAAATGGAGCACATTGATCCATTTTGGGGCGCATTCCTTGCACCCAATCTGTGAAAAAAAGCTGGTTGCTTGGTTCATCATCTCATCTTCCGTTTCCGACACCTCATTGTGGTAGCTGATCTACGCATTTTTCCCACTTCCGTGGAGCACCCAACCGAAACCAGGACACCAAAGACGTCGTCCACCAGACTTTGGGGATGAGATGAGCCGCCTGCAAAACGCCCACGCAGATTGTCACCTGACGGGTGTTCCACCGAAATCCACCCCTCCCAGGAAAAAACCGGAGATGATCCAAGTAGAAACCTTGAAATGCGGTTAGCAAAATTTACCAGCGGGTGATGCGCTACGCCCCACACTTGCTCACTTGGCCATTCACACTTTGACATGAAAAAATAAAGTACCCACCCACATTGAACTTTGCATTCATGGAAGACTTTCAAAAGGGGGAGAAAAGGGAACTGTACTTACTGTCACACAAGGGAAAATCCCAACCCCTTTAAACTGTGCATTCATTGGCGACGTTCAACCGGGGACTTTCTTCATGTGGGGGAAGAAGGAGTCACAGCGTTTTGACCCAGATATTGGAGCATAGGACAAGTGGCCAAAAACTTCGGTGAAAGTCATATGTGCCACTGAAAAATGGACACTGGTGTCACTCACCGGGGACCAGTGAAAATTCTTCGGCAGCCAGCGGTCCCCAGAGCGGGATCGAAAGTTCTACACCAAGGGACCAACAACGAGGAGACAAAAGCGGCTCTGGAGTTGTAGATCACTAGCAAAGACCTGGGAGATCGCAGGACCAAGTAGGAACAGGCATGTGGACCCTACAAGGCAGTGAGTCATAAATCTCAGTTTATTCCAGGTAGCGACAGATGCTTCAGATTCTGACCGGAACAAGACCAGCAGCCTGAAATCCCATGGCTGGACAGGATGGATCCGGCGGTGATCGGCTGCTGAGTTGTCCCCAAAAAAGCGCCTTTCCGCTGAGTGGTGAGTGACCCAAATATAGAAATTCGCTAACCTGAAAATAGCTGAAATAAGGCCATGTGGGGATCATTCCCTTACTAACCATCTAGTGACGTCACGGTGAGTAGAATGACTGTTGCTTCACCTCCCAGATTTTTTCGTTAAGGTACAGCAGCTTCAACCAACGAGAGGTATTCCAGTCGTGACTCAAGAAGGCTTTGAAACGTTTCGTCTGCCGACTCAGGCGATAGAGGTTGACATCCACCTTAAACATTCCGGGATCTGGTCGGGCAAAGTGCTGGCCATTTCCACTCAAGCACACATCCTATAGGCTGAAGGGAGGCTCGAAAATCAAGGGAAGGGGGCATGTTGTGGGAAATCACATCAAATATTGGGGGTTGCTGTATATTTCAATTCATGGATATGTAGTTTGAACAGACTGCTTCATATGTCAAAAGAAGGAAAGGGCAAGAAAGTGCCCCATTGAACGGAGAAAAAAAAAATGGTGGTGTAGACAGAACATACCCCATAATGTCAACGATTTTCCCGTTGGGGACGGTCCGGGTGCAGGAATCTTTGCAGTTTGGACTCCCAAAAACTCATGGATGTTGAATTCCCAAAAACATCAGTTTTGGCCTTTGATCCAATATCAGAGGGCATTAACCAACATTTCATTCATATATCATTAATATGCCATCCAAAATATCCATTAAACCCTATGAAAGGATGATGGCGTTCCAAGCATCGAGAGGTACCCCCCGCAACAGCTCTGGCTGAACTTCGGTTTGTAGCTCTTCCAGCGAGGATGCCCGACGCGCAACGTGCTCCATCACTGGGCTGCGGAATGCAAGGATATCTCTTTGACCTCCCTCGATACGCAAACATTTAAATATGCAAATACATGCAACATATAGATATACGAGTACATGTACATACATACCAATGGATATTCTTATCATTGCTGGTATTTTTTTTACTCCCGGTATTGTATACATCTACATCTACATGGAGAGTTGGTGCTTGGGCTCTTTTCTGCGTGTCTCCTGACCGGAGCTTGAGCCCGGGAACTGTCACCATCACCGCTGGGGAGCCATTGGGTTCAACCCGTTGAGATCTCCCGACCCGTAAAACCTGGTGATTAGTTGAACCATGGAAATATACCGTTGATAGGTATCCGGTATCCGTGAAGAATGTTACGACAATTGATGATTTGGTAGTCGATACAGGTAGCAACCCCAAGCATCACATTCTACGAAATTTAGTGATGAAATGTTATGAATTACATTGAATTACTACAGGATGGGGCCCCCCAGTTATAAGTTGGTTTATATACCATGAAATAACCCCCATTTAACTATAGTTATATCTACCATAAACCATTGTTTTTGTTATATCTACCATAGCTATATCTACCATAAACCATTGTTAAACACTATCTTTTTTGGGGGTTGCAACAGCTGCAACCTCCCCACACACAGAAAATCCGGTCCCAACTGGGTCCCAACTTCTGTGCTCGTCCCGTCATGGCGTCGGAGCAGCGCCAGCCCACTGGAGATCCGGCATCCTGCAACCAACTCCAAATAGCTACAATTCATCAACCATTCTTTATTATTGATCACTATTGAAATTGAACATTATTCTTCATTCTTGATCACTATTGTCCGTTATTGATCATTGAAATTTACAAATGTGGCTACATGTTTTTACCGTGAGACGGCAGTTGATCCATCTGGTGTTGTTCTGTGCTAAAAGAAAACACGGTGTCCACTGGAAGACAGTCCGCTGTGACAGGTGCACCTTGGTATAGTTGACACTGAAGACGGCTGGATCAGGACAGACATGGAAGCTGCAATTCGGCCGCGCCCAAATCGCTTCTCCTGTCAGGCGGTGTCTGGAAATGAATGTTGAACGCTGCGTATTTACAGTTTGAACGTCCGCAGGCGTTGGTAAATACGGTATCTGTTCATTCATTCTGCATATCTAATTGATATTGTGATCCTTGTTATCATGATCCAGTCTCCCCTTGCCCCCGTCACTGGCAAAGGTCAGGTCATTGATATCCTTGCCATTCGGAAAATTTAGGACATCTATTGGAGCATACACAGTTCTAGGAGTCTATTGGAGTGCATGTGGTTATAAAAAGTATTTTAGCACCTTCCAGTCAGTGTTTAGGCAGCATGTGGGAATTTTGTACGTAGTATAGGTACTAGATGGGTAAGAATATAATAGAATATATAGGTACCATGAAGAAAGTATGCAAGAGTTTTGTCCGAGGATATCTGGTTGCAGGAATATAGTGTATAGGTAGGTAACCTACTGGTGGTAAATGGGAAGTTTATAGGCATTTCATTTCCATAAACAAGTATATATATATACGTGTGTGTGTGTGGACTAATTGTACAGGTAGCATATAGGTGACTAAAAGCAGTAGATGTATGAGCAAATTATGGCTAATACACAGGTGGTGTGCAAGTATCATGACCGAAGAAATATGAGGTTTGGGCGGCTTGGGTGACCATACCAGGGGAGCGGCCGTGGCCAGGGTCATAGTCTGTCTGCATCGCAACCGCCCTGGTTCGCAAATAGATCCCTCGTTTTCCGCGATTCTCACATTCTGGTGACATTCTAAACTAATGTTCAGAAAGCAACAGTAGACTAGCCCCAATTTTACCATGAACGGGTTGTTTATTATTGCTTTACTAGAAGGCTATGACTTAGAATTCACATGCCAATGGCCCCAGAACTTTTGTCCCTTTCAGACGAACTGAAACCCATTTTGATAGTATATCACTCTGGCATCTCATTTTGAACCATACCAACGCCGTTTGAAAAAAAGGTCGTTCACCTGCCAGAATAACTTTGGCCCGTCAATCATTTTAAAGCCCTCCCACTGTGCTACATGGAGGTGCAGCGTCTACCAAGTCGTATCTCCACTGGATCAGGCTCCGGTAATGCCAAATCATGTGTGGACACTGAGAGATGAGTTCAGGCTGACGTTACAACCCGTAGACCTGGTCTTCAACATCTTGGTTGCGTACTGTGCGTGGTTGGAAAAGTCTGCATTCATATGGTTTGACGATTTCAGTCTTTGGTTTGAACATGAGGCCTCGACTTTCACATGCTCCTGCTGCCTCGAAGGAACTATCGGATTACATACGCAGCGGAGGTACTACGCGCCGGAACTTCAAGTGGCCGTGGCAACCCAAAAAGGGTTAGATGCCTCACATGGTGCGAAGTGCAAGCAAACGCGGGCCCTCAGCACAGCCGATCATCAGCATTTTTTCTCAGTTACCACGGTAGTCACGGTAGCTATTTCTATCACTAACCCATCCCCAATGGCTCCTGTAGGCCGCGTGTTGTCGTGTGGACACTGCGCCGTCGTGGCCTCTCCCTCGTAGGGCAGCTGACACCGTACCATGCAGCTTCCCCCCGGCTGCAGCCGGTCTGGACAGTCAGCCACGAATCGGCAAACGTCGTCACCAAAGGTGGGCCTTGGATGACGGCAAAACTGGGCCTTTGAGGTGACCATATACCCGCGCAAACTAGTGGAACTGCACCCTGAAGTGGAGGACTTGGCTTGGTTTGTTTGGCCAAAATCGAAACCGGAAATACCATGAAGTTTAGGGTTTTCCTGCAGGTGGTCTCGTTAATTCTGGGCATATGGCAAAATTTGGCAAAAGCCCCTAACAATTATCCTTGCGCTCCAGTACATGTCCTTCATTGGATGAAGAGAAAGAGGAAAGCCCCATACTCCCTTCAATCAACCCAGGGATTCTGCACTTATTCCATGTCTACTTGGTGTGTAACCATGTTTTTGAACCACTTACGATTCCTGCAATGCACGTTTGTATGGTATCAGGGGCTCGAATGGGATTGTCCAAAAAGGGAGACCTCAAAGTCCCATTGTTTCAAAACTCGCCCACTAAACTGTTGCCATTTTCATCCGCTAAGCTGTGGAGCCCATTCCCTCCGGCCTCAAGCACGGGACAATGGGATTGCAGCCCTCCAAGTGCAGCTCCGCACCGCACCTCTGCGACTCTGCGAGTGTCAATGGGGATCATCCTCCCAGTTTCGATGTTCAAATACCGAGCATGTCATCTGAAGATGGTGATATACCATATATATATAATATATATATATAATATATATATAATATATATATAATATATATATAATATATATATATATAATATATATATATATATAATATATATAATATATATATAATATATATATAATATATATATACGTGATATATACCCATTACACCCATGATCTCCCAGGCTTCATCTATTTCAGGCTTCAGCCATTCAGCCGATCTCCCCATTGGATCTCCATAAAATTCTGGCCTGGAGCTTGGGCGACAGGACGCCTGAGGGATGCCAGCATAGCCTGGGGAGCACTGCCAGCCATTCTGAGTCTTTTCCTTCGCCGCGAGCCGCAGGAGCGGAGCCAAGGACTCAAAAAATCTGGGACTTTTCTTCGAGACTTTCCTGGTGAAATATTTCGATCTTAGATCCAGTTGAGTTCGGTGTCAACCAAATGATGGCACTCGCCCTACTGAGTAACTGGCAGCTCAAATTTGGGTCCACATGTGGCCATAGACTCCAAGTGGCATAGCCCAGAGGTGTGGAATCACACTCAAGGCGACAGTCTGGCCATTCCCGAAGAACCGGCGGAGCTGAAGGATCCACATTGTTCTGGCAGAATGAGCACATGGATGTTGAAAGAAACGGATTTTTAAATCATTTTAAAGCTCTAGATTTGTAGATGTCAAGCTTGAAAGATGGACCCCAAGACTCCATTTATGCTTCCTTCTCTCTCATTTATTCACTTGTCTCCATCGTTTCTGCTCCATTTTTTCGCTTGGTAGGATCTGATATTCCTTAGAATGCATCGGAAACTATCTCCGCTCATTGAAATCTATGAATTTTCAAACCCCGATCCATGTTTTTGCTTTGCAAACATTGAGGCCGAACACTGAAAATTGGGTTTCCTTTCAAAATACTGTCGGAAACCAGCCCACGAAAAGTTTGACGGCTTGGACATCATCTGACCAACATGTTTGTTTGGCTCGCCCTCTTCGTTTTTGCTCGGTGCAAAATCCAAAGGTTGGGGGATGAATCAACAAATATCAATTGCCATCGATGCGCAAACACGTGGATATGAAGCAACATACGTGGGGATATTGATCACCAAGTATGGGGAGATGAAAACACTTCACCACAGCTATCGTATGATCAGAAATATTTGGGGTGCCTATCAATTTTGACACTTCACTTCACCAATTTGCGGTTCAATGCGGGTATCATGGTAATCCAACATGAGGAAATAACATCTTGATCATAGAACGCCCCCATGAGTTTGATGGCGTGTAGCCAATGTTTGTCTTTTTCTGCTCCAAAATGTTATTTAGGGGAAGAAGAGATGCCAGTCTGGTACACCATCTATCATCACTTGCCCATTGGTTGTGAAGGGAGCTTAACCTTCCTCTACATATTTCACCCCCATGTTGTGGTTTGTACCCTTCATGCCGATTCATGCCACATGATTTAGATTGTTCTTGCATGAAAAGATATATTTTATAGCCCATTTCTGTCCAATTCTGCTGTACATTTCCCCATCATCGATACGATCAACCATTACTCTGGAGAAATTATCGTACTTTGTGAATTCACCAAAAGTTCGGCCGTCTGGGGATACTTATCCGTATCCTAATCACTACAGTGACATCCCACTTGGTAAGTGGTCAATAACCTACTAAGTCCCCAATTCCGCAGATCATCCCATTGATCATTGGCGAATAAGCCCACTTACCACTTTCTGAATGGGATAATCCTGCAAGTAGCCTCTGGTTATGACTAACATAGCTATGGAAAATGAACCATTTATAGATGATGTACCTATTAAAATGGTGGATCTTTCCATGGCTATGTTAGTCATAACCAGAGGGTAGCTTTTGCGGTCAATTTCCCTCCAGTCTCCTCGGAGCACTGCGCAAAGCTGCTGTCTCCATGCAAGCCATCGCGACAGCTGATTCGGCAGCTCTCACCAGGCTCCAGACCTCGTGTCACCAGGTTTTGGGCTTTGCCACATGGGAAATCATTTTTAAAAAAGGAAATCCCCAGTTTGGAATGGCGAAGTTGGTTTATAAAGGATATACATATATATATATAACTGTTGGGTTTATGGTAGATATCTCCGACTGATGGGGCGACTGTTTTTCATTAACCAACAAGCATCCAGAAAATTGTCTTTGTAACGTGGGGATCCTACGAATCGTAAATCGGGTAGCCTAAATAGGGTAGCCTAAAGAGGGTAAGTTGTAAACCTGGTGAAATAAATGGGGAAAGTACATGAAAGTAATATGAGTGCATAAAACTGCATCTGGGATGAACCAGAGTTGCAACTTAACAGCAAGTTCGTAGGTTCCAGAGTTCCAGCGTTGCCGTTCTGTTCCGGTTTTTGCGCTCTATAAGAAACGACGCACCACTCCCAGACCCAGAGATTGAAACCCAACAGTCACTTACTGGTGAGAATGATAACCTGTATACTTATACTTACTCAGTATCCCATCGTTGACATCCTGGTTGTGAAAATAATTGTGACCTCTCCAATGTCAACCTCAGATGAATGTTGACCCTTGGACTGAGATCGTTTGGGGGTACCTTAATGGAAGGGAGACTCCCCTAATCAAATCACCCACATCCCAACTAACGCCTCCGCATCAACCCGCCATGGTTTCCTTTCATTGTGGGCTCAATGCGCATCTTTGATCTGAAGGCAACCAAACATCAGAGGTAATTATTGCATGACTTTTTTGCAACTGCCCAAGCCATCACTTGACACGCCATCTGAGCCGTGCCCCATTCAACCGGTATAGTACCTGTTTTCACCATCAACCACCAGGGATGTTGGGCAGGGTCCGAGAATCGGCTGGCACACGACTGTGCTGCATAGTTGGGATCTTCCAAAACCAATGGGGCGCATGGAACCAGCTCCCAACAACCTCAGGCATTTGTTGGAAGCAAGACTCTGATCCCAAGGTTTTCACGTCAAAATACTTTGTAAATCATGTCCCAAGTCTGTATCTATATATACAGTGTATGTGCACGTATGTATGTATATATGTATATATATATATATATTGTGAATCGGAGGTTGTCACTCCGACTATGTATTGATGTTGGTTCTCGAAGGAGTCGTCTTCAATGGCGATGACAAGTGAATAGCGGCTTCCGCATGGCTTTGCTCTTTTCCGGTACTGCAGTGGGTCTTGAGCCAAAGGGGCGAGTTGATGTGCCCCCTGGCTGTGGATCTTTGAGGGCTGAATTATGTGGTAGTGTACAATGGTCCGTAGCCTACACTCTATTCGCACCCCCCACGCATGGCCAACTTTGTCGGCCACGCGCAAAGGAGTGTCCCTCGAATTGATCCACTACATCTGCAGCTGTTCATTTATTGAGTTATGGAGAGCTAAAGTCCGTTCAGAACTTCATATCTACATGGCGGCTTGCTACAATCTCTACCCAAAAAGATAAAGGTTCTGTTCACGTGCATGTAGACACGACGTAGTCGGTGTCTAGCATTGAGGTTCGTCCAATGTGGCGTAGCCAGCATGGAGTCTCACTCAAGCATGTGAATTAAAGAAATCAAAACACAAAGTTGACTATGGAACTAGAAGTTTACCTCCCCGTCCCTTCGTCGGTTGAGACGTAGACCGCTGTAGAAACTCAGCGTTTCATGCAATGATGTTCAAAAAAAAATGTGTGTTTCTAAATTAGCCGGCTCAGAGTCCTCTCAGAAATCATTCAAAATGAAGTAGAGGTAAATCTCGAGCAATGATTGCATCCTCGCATCGCCAGGTTCAATCAGGACCTATGCAGAGGTCAGATCGCTTAATCATCTATATCCCCATCCATAGTATCCCTGTTGGTTCCAGTCTCCGCCACGGTGTGAATAAGATCTTCCACCTTTTCCTTGGTCCTTTCCACCCTTCTTTGGCGGGGTCACTGGAGCTTGTTTTGGCTGAGGAGCGGTTTCAACTGTTCTCCATGTCGCTGACGATGATGCTTTCGCTTTCGACACTCTTCCCAGTGCTGGTGCAGCTTTCGGGGCTGCTTTCGATTTGCCAGCGGCTGGATTGGTACGTTCACGATCAGCAGGAGTCGGGGTATCAGCAATCGCAAGTATGTGAGCTTCAGACAAGTGGATGCCCCACCTTGGTCGTTGATCTTCCCGTTGCTTGATGTGATTGTAGTCATCGATCGCATCATATAGCTTTTGGAGTAGAGGTCGTGGCAATTGTCGGCCATTCTGAAGGATCAGGTGTAAAAGTGATATTCTTCGAAGTGGTGGACGAAGAGCACACACAATGTCAACTGGATTCAGTGTGATTGTGTCTTGAAAGTCAACGTTCCTGAAGAAATAAACAGCATTTACCCTATATGCACCTGCAATGATTCTTCTGACCATGACGTCTTGTCGGTCAAGGGCGTCGCGGGCCGCTGTGGTCTTTCTCATCTCATCCATTGTGGTGTCACGTTTCGACAGCTTCTCCATCTCCTCATCAAAGAATATGTTTTGCAAGTCATCATACGTGTAGCCACATTCGAGGGTATATATGAGAAGTCTTTTGAGTACCACTGCCCCGTAGTATGCATTGACGAATCCCTCTTCTCCGATGTCGTCCTTTTGATTTGGTCGGCCGATCTCTTTGTAGAGCTCTTTCATCTGTTGTGCAGTTGGTTCAATGAGTTCACCATTTTCATCCTCGCCCAGGTAAGGTGTCCTTGAGTCCAGGTCCATCCTGAATTTCTGGTTCTGTTGAAAATGTTTCCATGCCGTCTCGATGTCTCCACAGAAGTTCCGTTGGAATAGTCTGTAGATCCTGACGATATGTAATCCAATCTGCAACAGGAGGATCTTGATGAATTCTGGCTGAGCGTCTCCAATTGTGCAAGGTTCGATCGGCAGGACCTTTGATCCAAACTCAATCCGCTGCATCCACTTGGGGTACTCAATCACTGCATCACGAGCTTCTCCAGCCTCGTACTCTTCAATGTTGATTTCATCGACCGCTTTCTCTTCATCATCATTCTCATCGGTCGGTTTTCCTTCTTGATTGAGAAATTTGTCGACCTCATCTTCTTCTCTGAAGTCTCTTTTCTCATCATTGATGTCGCCCTTCTTCGAGGCTTGATCATCATCTCCTTCTTCTGGTTGAGTTTCTTGTTCTGGACTCTTCATGGTGACATCATCATCATCTGGCATCACCTCGTCGTCATCATCATCACCTGTCAAATCGATCTTCACCTCCTCCCATGCTTTCTTGACATGGTCTTTGAGATCTTCTTCTCGATGATGTGATTCGGCCTTTGGTACTGTAGCCACGGTGATCTTGATTCGTTTCCTCCATCCATGACTCACCAAAAATCCTTTGCACATCACACAAATCGATAATGGCGCAGGGGTCTCCATCAGACATGCGGGGCATAGTCGATGGTCCTCTTTGCTAGGATGATGAGTGACTGCCAATAATGAAATTGCATCATTCCAATCCGGATGTCCAGGGAACAATCTGTGAGTATGACTGAAGTGACCGGTCCTGATATCGACAAGTTTTCGAAGTTCGTCTAGATCGGGTGATGATTCTTCAGGCACAATGTTTCCAATGAGCTTGTCAAATCGTTCAATGGTGGCCACCCTCTTCGCGCCT